CCACTCTGTCCTGGGCCTTCTTTTCTAGTTCTATCCAGTTCTTGTTCATTCTTCTCATGTCTGTCTCTATTTCTCGGCGTATTGTGTTCGTTGGTCTTCCTCTTCTCCTTCGACCTTCAGGATTCCATGTGAGGGCTTGTCTTGCGACACAATTGGGAGATTTCCTCAAAGTGTGCCCAATCCACTTCCAGCGCTTCTTCCTGATTTCTTCCTCCACTCGATGGAATCTGATTTGTTGTCTTTCACAGTAGTTTATGCTGATAGTGTCTGGCCATCGGATCCGAAGTATTTTGCGTAGACAGCTGTTGATGAACACTTGTATCTTCTGGATAATGGCTTTCGTAGTTCTCCACGTCTCCGCCCCATACAGAAGAACTGTCTTGACATTTGTATTAAAAATTCTAACCTTGGTGTTGGTTGACAATTGTTTTGAGCTCCAGATGTTTTTCAGCTGTAGGTATGCTGCTCTTGCTTTGCCAATCCGCGCCCTCACATCTGCATCTGATCCACCGTGTTCATCAATGATGCTGCCCAGATATGTAAAGGTTTCCACATCCTCCAAAGCTTCTCCGTCAAGTGTAATTTGATTGGTGAATATTGTGTTGTATCGGAGAGTTTTTCTTTCCCCTTTGTTTATATTGAGACCTACTGCTTCTGAGGCTGCTGCTAAACTGGTCGTTTTTTCCTGCATTTGTTGTTGCGTTTGTGATAGAAGAGCCAGATCATCCGCGAAGTCTAAATCATCAAGCTGCATCCTGCCTGTCCACTGTATCCCGTGATTTCCTCCAGATGTTGACGTCTTCATAATCCAGTCGATCACCAGGAGAAAGAGAAAGGGTGAGAGTAGGCAACCTTGCCTAACACCGGCAGTTTAGTCCATCATAGGAGTTCCGTATGATATTGACTATCTTCTCAGGCACGCCGTAGTGTCGAAGAAGCTTCCATAGTGTCGTCCTGTCCACGCTATCAAATGCCTTCTCGTAGTCAATGAAGTTGATGTAGAGTGATGAATTCCATTCGATTGTTTGTTCCACAATGATACGTAGAGTTGCGATTTGATCTGTGTACGATCTATCCTTACGAAATCCAGATTGTTGATCTCGAATTTGGTTGTCCACGGAATCCTTCATCCTGTTTAACAATACTCGGTTGAAGACTTTTCCTGGTATTGAGAGAAGAGTGATGCCCCTGTAGTTGTCGCACTTGCTGAGATCACCTTTCTTTGGTATTTTGATCAGAAGTCCTTCTTTCCAGTCTGTTGGTACATGTTCTTCGTCCCAAATCTTACTGAAGAGGATGTGGAGTATCTTGGCAGTTGCTGTTACATTTGCTTTCAGTGCCTCTGCCGGGATGTTGTCTGGTCCCGCTGCTTTGCCACTCTTGATTTGTCTAATGGCCATGCTGATCTCTTCAATTGTTGGTGGGCCAATATCGATTGGGAGGTCCGTGGGTGCTGCTTCGATGTTGGGTGGGTTCAGTGGAGCTGGTCGATTCAAGAGTTCTTTGAAGTGTTCTACCCTCCTGTTTCGTTGTTCTTCAATATCGTTGATTACTTTGCCTTCCTTGCTTTCCACTGGTCTTTCTGGTTGACGGTAATTTCCAGCAAGTTTCTTTGTTGTATCATACAGTTGTCTCATGTTTCCCTCTCTTACAGCCTTTTCCGCTGTCGTTGCTAAATCTTCCACATATTTACGTTTGTCGGTTCTGATGCTCCTCTTTACTTGCTTGTTTGCCTCTGTGTATTCGGCTTGTGCCTTGGCTTTTTCTGCTCTTGTTCGGCTGATATTGATTGCTGCCTTCTTGTTCCTCCTTGCTTCAATCTTATCCAGTGTACCAACAGTGATCCATTCCTTGTGATGGTGCTTCTTTTGGCCCAGAACCTTTTGACATATTGAAACGATTGCCTCCTTGATACCTTTCCAGTTGCTCTCCATTGTAGTCTCCTCTCCATTCAGTAGATCATGAAAGGCCTGGAACCTGTTGCTGAGGGCTATGTTGAATTTGTTGAGTTTGTCAGCATCTCGAAGAAAGGCCGTATTAAACTTTTGTGATGTTGTCCGCGCCATTGTCCAGTGCTTCTTGAGTTTTAGTTTCATCTTGGCGACCAGCAAATGATGATCGGATGCTATATCAGCTCCTCTTCTGGTTCTCACATCCTCCATCGTCCTCCTGAACGTTTTGTTGATGCAGACATGGTCGATTTGATTCTGTGTAGTGTGATCCGGTGAAATCCAAGTGGCTTTGTGTATGTTTTTGTGTGGTAATATGGTGCCACCTATGACCAGTTTATTGAAGGCACATAGGTTTGCAAATCTCTCACCGTTTTCGTTCCTTCCTCCCAGTCTATATTGTCCCATGACGTCTTCGTATCCAGTGTTGTCCTTTCCAACCTTGGCACTGAGATCTCCCATTAGAATTGTCAGGTCCTTGATTGGGCACTTCTCGACGATAGACTGCAGCCTATCGTAGAATTGGTCTTTAGCGTCTTCATCATAGTCGTTGGTCGGCGCATAGCATTGGATGATGTTCATTGTAATGCCCTCTCTCTTTGTTTTGAAGGAGGCTTTGATGATCCTCGGTCCATGAGATTACCATCCAATAAGTGCATTTTGTGCTTTTCTGGACAGCATCAATGCCAATCCTTGTGTATGTGGGGCGTTTTCTTCTTCATGACCGGAGTATAACAGAAGTTCTCCTGAAGACAGTCGCTGTTGTCCAACCTGCGTCCAATGTGTTTCAGTGATTCCAAGCACTTCCAGGTTGTATTTCCTCATTTCCGCAGAAATTTGGAAGACTCTGCCGGTCTCCCACATTGTCCGGACATTCCATGTACCTATAAAGAGTGTTGCTCTGGTTGTAAGAAGGTGCATCGGTCTGGTGACTTCCGAATGAACTCGGCTTTCATCATGAGACGTGATAATTATTCCTTCTACTCCCAGGGCAGAGTTTGAAAGGTTTGAATGATTTTTTCTGGTTAGCGTTTTTTTAGCGAGTTGGTTTTCTACGAGATGGGGTCGCTAACCCCATGCCCAACCCTCCTCCTTTACCCGGGCTTGGGACCGGCAGTAGCCCCTGGAGGAGCTACAGGAGGAGTTATCTGATCTTACTATATAAGAATTACCATTGAACTTTAATGGTAAATAGTTATTGCCTGATACTTTAGTGAAATTTTGAAAAGTTATGACCTCACGAAGATTAGAGATGGAGAAGGTATTTAAATACTTAAGTTAAGTGAACAGTAGGAGAAGTGTCAAGTTATAATCATATATAATAGTAACACAATGAATCGTGCGAGTAAATGTACAATGGGGTGTTTTGTCTCATTAATCGAGGTATTAATTATAATAACGTTGTGTGGACATAATATTTAATAACAGAGGTGTTATTAAGGTTAGCGTATTTTTAGTAAGGTTGTTTTCTACACGATCAGGTTGCTAACCCTATGTCCAACTCTACTCTTTTACTGGGGCTTGGGACCAACAGTCATCATGTCAGACTACTCTGTAACATAATCTAGCATTCTTCCAGAACGTTACAATTACCAGTGAATCTATAAGTTATCTTATTTTTCGTACATAAGCCAACTTTAAAACAAGGCTTTTGATCTTCTCACCTTTTCTTTACTGTTCAATGTTCAAATGTTGGAGAGTTTTAAGGATCTAGGAAGTGGCCAGAAAGTCATTAACAAGTGTTCTAAGACAGAAAAAACGCTTGTTGAAATGTTGTAAGAAAAACACCAATATTATCTACTTATAAGCTGACTTTAGCTCTATTGGATCTCTTTTGAAAGTTAATATAAAGAATCGATTGCGATCATGAGTCATTTGAAGCTGAACCACTATCTGGAAGCACTGGATAGCCGTTTCGTCCTACTGTGGGACTCCTCAAGAGTGCGAGTCCACGATCCCACCTTGCAAGATTCGAACACGGGACCTATCATTCTTACGAGCAAACGGTTAACCACTAGACTATTGAGCCAGCCGGTATCAAACTGTGTTAATGTTTAACTTTAAACAATCTACGAAATTGAATAACACATCCACCATTGTCTTCAGTGAGTTACTATCTCACAACAGACCTAGTTGAACTCAACTGGTCACTGCTTCTCACTAGAACTCCAGGAAATACCTCTTGAAGTCAGTTACTAGTGAGCATATATTGATTATTATCAGAAAGGGTTTTTGTGGATATTACAGTAATCTTAATACTTAAAATCATGAGTCAATTGAAGCTAATTTCTGTTTATTTAATGTTTACATTGTACATTATTATTATTATTATTATTATTATTATTGTTTTATTCATTTACAATACATCAGAATACACATAATGTAAAATGATCAATAATTAGTCCATTCTATACATGTAAGTGTACATAAAGGTATTAGCATTTACTTACTACTTTCAATATAAGATTTCATATAGATTCTTTTATTTAAGTAGTAACAGTAAGTAAGATAAAAAATAAACAAAGAATCAACATTAGAAAAGGAAACAACAAAAAAACGGAATCAAAACAAGAAACAATAAAAACAATCAATTTTGTTTAAAAGAAACAAACAAACAAAACATAAATAGTATTTGTTGTGTACCTTCCCTCCCCTGCCATCACCACCACCACCACCACCAACACCAACACCACCCTCTTTACCTTTCATAATACTGAATTAAGTGATAACAATCACATTAATCAATAGATTTGTACATTCATTATATTAGTTTATATAAGATGGGGTAGTTGAATGTAACTGGTAAAATTTAATTTTGTTTTTTAATCATTAAAAATTATCAGAAGGGGGGTTTTGTAGAAATTTTATTAATTTCATATAGTTGAAATTATGAATTAATTGAAGCTAGACCATCATGGAAAACGTGGAAACGTTGGACGGCTGTTTCGCACCGCTGAAGAGTTTCAAATTAAGACGAAACGGTCATCCGATGCTTCCAGGTTTTCCATGATGGTCTAACTTCAATTAATTCATAATCTCAACTATATAACATTAAAAATTACTATGATTATAATTTATTATTGTATTGGGTAATTTGTTTATTGTATAAATGGGTGATGAATGTTTAGGGTAAATTAAATTATCCGATATTGTATCCAGTTGTACATTATTATTATTATTAGTAGTAGTAATAGTAGGACTATTATTGATTGTGTGATGAAGTACATTCGATTCAAAAGGTTGAAATAGTTGTGAATGTTGGGAATGATACGACTGTTGTTGTTGTTGTTGTTGTTGTGGTCGATGCTGCTGCTGCTGCTGTTGATGCTGATGATGGTGATGATGTTGATGGTGGTAGTGGTGATGATGATGATGATTTCGTAAATGTGGATGATACTGTTGAGTATCATATGAATATTTTTGTAAATTTGATAAACATTGTTGATGTTTATGTAATGTTTCAATTAATCTATTCTCTTTCATTGGTGTCATTGATGTTGTTATTGTAGTAGTAGTAGTATTGAATTGAGCATGTAAATCAGTATTATCTATTGTTTGATTATAATAATTAGATACATTATGTGTTGGATACATTAATCTCTGTTCCATTTGTTCATTATTCATACCATTTGTATCCAATGTATTTACATTATGTAAATTTTTATACTTTTCACAAATTTTATTAGTAGTATATTTCGATGAATCAAATAATAAATCATCACGAGTTGTTAAATTAATCACTGAAGATAACAATGATGATGGTGATGATGATATCGACTTTGATGAAGTCATTGGAGATTTTATCAATGAATGTTCTGTAGGACGTTTATAAAGTGTTCCAACAGCTGTGGCTATTTTTGAATGAATTGGACGTTTCCATTGGGAAGACATGGATGATAATTTACTATCATTATTCAAATTGTTTAATTCATTTAAAGATTCACTTTGTAATTGATGAATATTCAATTTTCTATTATTTATAGAAGAATTTACAGGAGATGACGGTATTTTCAATGAGTAATTGTTATAAGAACTCCCTGTATGATTATTTACTGAGTTTTCGATAAAGTTTTTAGAAACACCAACATCATCTTGAGTAGACATGTAAGGACTGTTAGTAACACTAAAGCATTTAGGTTTTAATATCATCATTTTCCCTTGATGTGCTTGTGATCTTGATGTAGTACGTGGTGGTATTGGTGGTGGTACAGATGTTGGTGGAGTAATTTGATTACAATGAAGCGTACGTCTATGTAATTTCTCAGAATTAACTTTAGGTTTATTAACAATTTTACTGATCTTTTTCAAAGATGAATCTATCACAGTTGTGGTATTTGAAGAAGACAAAGAAGTAGCGATTTTCGGGATCTTTTCAGTTAAGATAGTTTTACTATCATGCACTGGGGATTGTAAAATACAATTACCATTAGAGACTGTTCTAGAAGTGTTAGTTTTTGATAAAATCGGTGATGTTGGAGATGATTTTGAAGCAGCTGATGAAATAAAGTTTATTTTAAAGTTATTTAAGTTGTTCGATATTGTGCTGGCAAGAGACTTTACTGGACTTTGAGATATAATTCTTAGACGACGGATTTCAGGGGAATTCAATGTATTAGAAACGCAGAATTTACTGACATTGTTTGTTGTTTTCAATGTCATAGACGATGATATACAATTAGAATATTTAGAATAAGGTTTTTCATTCACAATACTCTTAACTTCATTAGAACAAGATGATATTATTGGTGACACTGGCATATTTGTTGTAGTACCGTCCAATTGAGGTATTTTTATTTTTGAATTATGAGAAATAGATATTGATGATAATGATGATAGTGTCTTACTATTTGAAGCATGTTGTGGTCCATGTAATGTTTTCATTGAACGATTGTTTCCAAGTTTGTCAATTGGAGAAAGCTTCTCTGTTGTGACAGTTTGACAAAAAACTTTATTTCGCTCTGGTGAAATTGAGTCAGGGGTATGCATGTTTGTCTGGGAGGTTTCTTTGCTTATTTCTGCGTTATTACTACGATTATTTTCACGAGATAAAGGTATCTCTGAAGGTTTCACTTCTGTCTGTAACTGATTATCAACAGCTAAAGCTGTGTTTATCATATTCTCAGTCTTGTTCATAGAGGACTTCATATCTCCTAAATTTTTACAATTAGAGGATTTCTAAAAAAAACAAAATTTTCAAAAAAACAATAATTAGATTAATTTTAATAGTTGGGATTATGAATCAGTTGAAGCTAGACCACTATGAAAAATCTGGAAGCACTGGACGGCCGTTTCGTTCTATTGTGGGACTCCTCAGCAGTGCACATCCACGATCCCACCTCGCCAGATTCAAATCAAGAACCTATCAGTCTCGCGCGCGAGCGCTTAATTATGTTAGATGAATGTAAAAGTCAAATGAAAAGTTGAACTACCTTCTTATTATTCTAATTTTATACTGCAAGAAATCTGTAAACAACAATAAAATAACCACCTTATCGGTCTTTAACTTTCAATAGTCTCATAAAGTTTAAAAAATATAGAAATACCTTGAAACTAAAGTGATCACACATTCACTCATCCCCCCGCTATTCTTATACATTGGGTGTAAATATAGAGGACCCACCGAAACATAAAACAAGAGTCGCTGGTTCAACTAAGAATTATTACACTAATTATATCCAAAAGAAAACGAAAAACAAAAAAAAATTGAAAATTGGCGGCATAAACTTATGATTATGTAATAGGTAATAATGAATAAGGTGCCTTTTTTTCATGTGTATCCATGTTGGATACATAAAATGAAAAAAAATTTTTTGTTGTTGTTGTCGAAAGAAAATTCAAAATTTCAATGTTCAGTTGTGTTTTGACCAATTTTTTTTTTGTAAAAAATCTATCATGTAGGTTGCAACATAAAAATTAAAAAAAACCTCACTCATTCCATATGGTTTAAATTATTCATTATATGGTGTAGATCAATTTCTCGGTTCATTTAATGATACACAAGCTTACACCCTCCCTCATTTATTCAATAAAAAATTATAGAGATTTTATTTGAAAAAAAAAACGGAAACATAAGATAATCATAAAATATACATCTGGAGGGAGAAACAACAAAAACCACCACCACAACAACAATAACAAAGTATAACCTTCATATAGACCGCCAACTAGCATTCTCCATCTAACCCTGTCCTAGGCAATCTTTTCAAGTTCTTTCCAGATCTTATTCATTCTTTTCATATCTGCTTCTATTTCCTGGCGTAATGTATTATTTGGCCTTCCATTTTTTCGCTTTCCTTCCAAAGTCAAGGAGAGAGTTAGATGAAGAATGCTAGTGGGTGGCTTATTCTCTTTTTATGAGGGATAATAAGTGTAAGTATAAATAAGTAATGTTTGGTTGGAAGTCAGTATTTTTACTATATTCTTATAGAAAATATGCAAACCATAATGAAGTACTCAGGAAAAACAACAACATTATTGAAAGTGAAGTTGGTGTTGGGGGGGGTGTAGAGAAAGAAATATGATTGCAAAGTTGTTTCATGTTTACGTTTTTCGATAATGGTAAGATAACTAAGTGTTAAATACTTACATAGCTGGTTTTTTTAAAAATGATCAAGTTAATAAGGTATCAAGGTTTTCAGTTATCTTCATGAAACGGTTATAAATATAAAGTACTGAGGAATTACAAAATAGATGTTGCTTAGGACAACACTATAGTTGTTTACAACTGATTGATCACTAGGTAGTGACCATTGTCATATGTATCAGGTTCTTCTTAGTGTAGATCGAATCCTATCGATCAAATTGTAATATGACCACTAGTCTAGGTGACTCGACATTGCATGCAGTATGTTGAGATAAGATGGTGGCTGAAGTTAGTCCAGGTAGGTCTAGAGTTCCCTGTCGACTACCTCCAACCACTATCTTATAGTTGTTCGATTCATACATGAATAAAATACAATTATTTAGTGAACAACTGAAGATCATGTTTTGTATTTATTACTATTTCGTATACTCGTCTACTGCATTCATTTGAAGTCCCTTCATCGGATTATATTTATTCTGTTAACTTAACTTAATTGTTATAATATCAGTTATTGATTAATAACGTTACAACATTTATGATCGATCAAGAACTTTGAATTCACTTGGTGTTGTTTACTTGTATCTTGTTTAGGACTGCATACGTGCATCCTGTAAGGATTGCCTTGATATTGAAAATTTCATAAGCAAAGATGGATGATGGCTAGCAATGGGATGCAGGATGCCTGCTTCTTTCTATTCGGGACTCGTCAGATGGACGTGCCTGCATCTTATAGTTGATGATCACTCTGGGATGCAGGCACATCCGCATGACAAGACCCGAGTAGGACGAAACATTCATCCTCGATTCCACTGCTAGCCACTATCCATCTTTGCTTAGTCAAGAACTTGGCTTATTCCACCACTAGAATTAAAAATGTAATCAATTATTCTCAATGTTTCGTTTGAAGAACCTTCAATTGAATTGTTATTTCTTTGAAAACAACACTTCAATTAAGCACAAGTTCTTAGTTTTCTTTCCAACAATCATTACAAAATCGGTATAAACTGTAACTTGGGGCTGATACTTTTTCTAAGAAAGAAAACTATTACTTACTTGTCGATCGGTAAACTTTGACATTCTTTTAGATGTAAGCTTTTGAAATCTTCTTCGATAGATTACCACTGGTGGTGGAGCAACAACTTTGAGATTACATTGTGAATCACTTGATAAGTTTGTTGAGGTTTCAGAAGAATTTTTAAGAGGTTTTGGATCCAAAGAGTACTTTCTACATTCTGAAACATTGTTTACTTCCGGTGGATTGATACTCTTCAATGAATGTTCATAAGAAAAAAATGTTATATACAATAGTAAAGAGCTTTTATTGTTAGGCAGGATGCAGTAGAAACTTTTAAACTGTGATTAAATGAGAATTTCAGACAAGTAAATAGTTTATTACCTTGAATTAGGTTGTGATTCATTCCATTTCAATTACTAACATGTCCAGTTCAATCTAGTCATCATGGACCAATTTATGCTTTAAAACAAGTGTTTATTGATGTTTTATAGAATTGGGATCATGAGTCAGTTGAAGCTAGACCACCGTAGGAAACCTGGAATCACTTGGCGGCAGTGCGCTTCCACAACCACGCACTCGCGAGATGCGAACACAGGACCTACCAATCTTGCGCCAAAGCACTTAACCGATAGACCACTGAGCCGTCATCCAACAGTGATAATGTCTTACTTCAACCAATCCACGAAGTCAAGCAACCATTCACCAATGTCATCAGTGAGTTGATTTCTCCCAACAGACCTGGTTGAACTCCACTGGTTACTGCTTCTCACTAGAACTGTATTAATAAGTATGACAATTATCTTAGTCTAATGAGATCATAAGCTGCTGGAGTTAGTCAGCAAAAAATCATAGATCTAGTTTTCGTGCTAGTTGGGACTTGTCATCAAGAAATACCCACAATCTTGTGAGAATTGGTATTCCCATTGATGTTTCAATCCGTGCTATTCTGTATCCTTATCTGAAATACTACTGTGGTGTTACTTATATCCACATAATTAATATATAAAGATGGTCAGGGATAGAATGTATTGCAGGAGAAGATCGATAGGGAACGGAACGCAATTGATATGAAAATGCATGAACAATGAAATCAGAGACGATGGGCTGATGCTTACAGAAGGAACGGTCAAGATTGAGGCAGTTGATTGATAGTTTGCAAATTAACTGTTTACTGTATGGTTCTCAGATTTTATTGAGATATTTTGTAATTTTGTGCTCTAATACATTCGATTGTCTTCACTCGTGTTCTTCTTCACTAAACTACGACTAAGCTTCTTAACCTTCTATTGGAGTGGGATATTCAAAATTAATAACCATTGAGTAATGTCCGGTGTCATGTTTGTTTAATACTTAGTAGTCATGAAATTCCATCTAACAGGTTGGACTCATTGAACAGACCTTAAGCTATAACACAATATCTCACTGTCGTAGATACAAACCTGTACTTGATAAACGAGTTAAGTCAAACCAAATAATCACATTGTATGATCCATGAAATCAATACAAAAAATGAATTATGTATAAATTAAAAAGGATCAGTCAGACTTTTAAGGAATAATCACTATTAACTAATCATCGAGCAACGGAGTCATAATACAATAGTTCACATTCTAAGATTCAATCAATTTCAGACACCGCAATCCGATTCATGTATTATTAGTGAACTATTATCTCATTCCTTATTTAGTTAACTCTATAGGTTATAGCCTTTTAGTAAAGATCCTTGACCATTTAATGGCAGAAGTTAGAAGGTATGCTGTATTAAACATTCTTTAAACATTATAACTCTAAAGTATTGTGTGCAGAAATGAGAAAATACAACCTGGAAGTGCTTGGAATCAGTGAAACACATTGGACGCAGGTTGGACAACAACGACTGTCTTTAGGAGAACTTCTGTTATACTCCGGTCATGAAGAAGAAAATGCCCCACATACACAATGATTGGCATTGATGCTGTCCAGAAAAGCACAAAATGCACTTATTGGATGGTAATCTCATGGACCAAGGATCATCAAAGCCTCCTTCAAAACTAAGAGAGAGGGCATTACAATGAACATCATCCAATGCTATGCGCCGACCAACAACTACGATGAAGACGCTAAAGACCAATTCTACGATAGGCTGCAGTCGATCTTCGAGAAGTGCCCAACCAAGGACCTGACAATTCTGATGGGAGATCTCAATGCCAAGGTTGGAATGAACAACACTGGATACGAAGACGTCATGGGACAACATGGACTGGGAGGAAGGAACGAAAACGGTGAGAGATTTGCAAACCTATGTGCCTTCAATAAACTGGTCATAGGTGGCACCATATTACCACACAAAAACATACACAAAGCCACTTGGATTTCACCGGATCACACTACACAGAATCAAATCGACCATATCTGCATCAACAAAAAGTTCAGGAGGACGATGGAGGATGTGAGAACCAGAAGAGGAGCTGATATAGCATCCGATCATCATTTGCTGGTCGCCAAGATGAAACTAAAACTCAAGAAGCACTGGACAATGGCGCGGACAACATCACAAAAGTTTAACACGGCCTTTCTTCGAGATGCTGACAAACTCAACAAATTCAACATAGCCCTCAGCAACAGGTTCCAGGCCTTTCATGATCTACTGAATGAAGAGGAGACTACAATGGAGAGCAACTGGAAAGGTATCAAGGAGGCAATCGTTTCAACATGTCAGGAGGTTCTGGGCCAAAAGAAGCACCATCACAAGGAATGGATCACTGTTGGTACACTGGATAAAATTGAAGAAAGGAGCAACAAGAAGGCAGCAATCAATATCAGCCGAACAAGAGCGGAAAAAGCCAAGGCACAAGCCGAATACACAGAGACAAACAAGCAAGTGAAGAGGAGCATCAGGACCGACAAACGTAAATATGTGGAAGATTTAGCAACGACAGCGGAAAAGGCTGCAAGAGAAGGAAACATGTGACAACTGTATGATACAACAAAGAAACTTGCTGGAAATTACCATAAGCCAGAAAGACCAGTGAAACACAAGGAAGGCAAAGTAATCACCGACATTGAAGAACAACGAAACAGGTGGGTAGAACACTTCAAAGAACTCTTGAGTCGACCAGCTCCACTGAACCCACCCAACATAGAAGCAGCACCCACGGACCTCCCAATCGATATTGGCCCACCAACAATTAAAGAGATCAGCATGGCCATTAGACAAATCAAGAGTGGCAAAGCAGCGGGACCAGACAACATCCCGGCAGAGGCACTGAAAGCAAATGTAGCAGCAACTGCCAAGATACTACACATCCTCCTCAGTAAAATTTGGGATGAAGAACAAGTACCAACAGACTGGAAAAAAGGACTTCTGATCAAAATACCAAAGAAAGGTGATCTTAGCAAGTGCGACAACTACAGGGGCATCACTCTCCTCTCAATACCAGGAAAAGTCTTGAACCGAGTATTGTTAAACATGACGAAGGATTCCGTGGACGCCCAACTTCGAGACCAACAGGCTGGATTTCGTAAGGATAGATCGTGCACAGATCAAATCGCAACTCTGCGGATCATTGTGGAACAATCAATCGGATGGAATTCATCACTCTGCATCAACTTCATCAACTAAGAGAAGGCATTTGATAGCGTGGACAGTACGACACTATGAATTCTTCTTCGACACTACGGCGTGCCTGAGAAGATAGTCAATATCATACGGAACTCCTATGATGGACTAAACTGCCAAATCGTACACGGAGGACAACTCACCGAGTCGTTTAAAGTAAAGACTGGTGTTAGGCAAGGTTGCTTACTCTCACCCTTTCTCTTTCTCCTGGTCATCGACTGGATCATGAAGACGTCAACATCTGGAGGAAATCACGGGATACAGTGGACAGGCAGGATGCAGCTTGATGATTTAGACTTCGCGGATGATCGGGCTCTTCTTTCACAAACGCAACAACAAAGGCAGGAGAAAACGACCAGTGTAGCAGCAGCCTCAGCAGCAGTAGGTCTCAATATAAACAAAGAGTAAAGCAAGACTCTCCGATACAATACAATATGCACCAATCAAATTACACTTGACGGAGAAGCTTTGGAGGATGTGGAAACCTTTACATATCTGGGCAGCATCATTGATGAACACGGTGGATCAGATGCAGATGTGAGGGCGCGGATTGGCAAAGCAAGAGCAGCATACCTACAGCTGAAAAACATCTGGAGCTCAAAACAATTGTCAACCAACAACAAGGTCAGAATTTTCAATACAAATGTCAAGACAGTTCTACTGTATGGGGCGGAGACGTGGAGAAATACGAAAGCCATTATCCAGAAGATACAAGTGTTCATCAACAGCTGTCTACGCAAGATACTTCGGATCCGATGGCCAGACACTATCAGCAATAAGTTACTGTGGGAGACAACAAACCAGATTCCAGCGGAGGAAGAAATCAGGAAGAAGCGCTGGAAGTGGATTGGGCACACTTTGAGGAAATCACCCAATTGTGTCTCAAGACAAGCCCTCACATGGAATCCTGAAGGTCGAAGGAGAAGAGGAAGACCAAAGAACACATTACGCTGAGAAATAGAGACAGACATGAGAAGAATGAACAAGAAGTGGATAGAACTAGAAAAGGAAGCCCAGGACAGAGTGGGTTGTAGAATACTGGTCGGCGGCCTATGCTCCATTGGGAGTAACAGGCGTAAGTAAGTAAGTAAGTATTGTGTTTGAGAGTAGTGTTTAACGTTTTATGTTTGATCCTATTCCTAGTCATAGGTAAGTATTTATGTTCTGTTTTAGCTTATATCAAGATATATGTCTAATCTTTATTAAATCCTAATAATAAACCTACAGGGGACTGTTCCTCATGAAATTCATTTTTAAGTTAACCTGATTCACATAACTCACTGATTAAGTGGATTATCAGAAAGAGATTTCGTGAAGATTGTAGTAATTTAATAGTTGAATTTATGAGTCAATTAAAGCTAGACCACCAAAGAAAACTTGGAAGCAATGGATGGACGTTTCGTCCTAGTATGGGACTATCTAGCAGTATGCATCCACTATCTCATACACGGGATTCTAACCTAGGACATACAGTCTCAAGCGCAAAAGCTTAACTTGTAGACCATTGATCCAGCATCATGGGTCGTGGATACACACTTCTGAGGAGTCCCATACTAGGACAAAACGACCCATCCAATGCTTCCATATTTTCCATGGTGGTCTAGCTTTAATTATCTATGAAATGTTAACAAGTTGCTTCAATTATAAAAAGACGGTAAAGTTTCTTTATTGTTCCTTTTGAAGATGAATTCCCACCCCTTAAATATGTAGGTGGAAAGTTTAAATATTAAAACAAAACAAACAAATCAAAATGAATTGACCTAGAGAGGTAACAAGTGAATTAGATACAATATCATTTATCTATCATGAAATATACACAACCACATACATTAGCCAAATTCTCCTTAAGAAACAAAATAAGCTTGATAACAAACATTTTGATTCACTTAGTATTGTTTGTTTGAATCTTCCCATCGATTTGTTAGGACTGCAACTGGTCAGTCTCTAATTGGCATATGTGTATACTATGTGTTCGTATTGCCTCGATATAGCCGTAACTCAAAAGTATTGTAAACAAAGATGAATAGTGGCTAGCAGTGGAATCCAGGACGTTCTATTTGGGACTCGTCAGCTGGATATACCTGCATCTCAGAGTTGATGAATTACATTGCTAGCCACTATCTATCTTTGCTTAAAAACATTTTGATTCTTTTGTTTGTTTGTTATTTTGTTTGTTTGTTTGGATTCAAATCGGTGTTTGTTTCCTAGGCAACAAATAAATTACACTGAACAATATAAACAATATAAATTAGTCAGGATAATAACCTCGAATAAAAGTTGTCAGATTGTTTACATTCGAGTAATTGTTTTTTTTATTTTTTAAGACCTTATTTTGTAGATTGAACTGGTATTAGTGTTTGTATAGTTTAGGATTTTGGAATCATATTTCAATATCTTCATGATTTTCAATTTTCATAGTGTGATGTTTGTGCTACTGATGTTGATAGATATAAGTAGTATGTATTCATCAATTGAAAGTGAAATATCAGGAGGTTAAGAAGATCGAAGAAAAGAGAAGGAGAATAGAGAACTTTGAGTATTTCAGAAATATAAAATCTTATTCTACCAGTATATACTTAGAACCAGATACTTATGTAATGTTTGAAATTTATTTTATGGGACAGATTGCTGGCCCAACTGCAATACCTCAGGGTTTAGGTTACTATCCTTGAAGGGGTAATATTTACGCACTTGCCACCAAATGACCTGGCTTGGCAGAGAGTGGGCAGAGTCCGCTCTCTCCAAATGCTCCTACATGGCCACACATATACAGCCATTGACAAGGAAGTTCTACTCAATGCCTTCTCGTAGCATTACTATTGTTCACGAAATTGAGAAGACGAAAGCTGATGTCCAGTGCTTTAACCGGGTTGGTGGATATGGAGGATTCATTTAGGGGAGTTGGAAAACCCTGATTCTAAACTAATAGTGCACATAAGCTCTAGGATCCTGAAGGAACAAATGGTGTATGAACCTATTGCTTGTCACTGACTACCATGAGAATGTATTTCCTTACGAAGCTCCAACGTTTTGTGGATCGGACGTTTAGGTCGAAAGCTCCGAAGTGGCTCCTTGAGAAAACGTTTTGCTTAGACCTGAGCACCAGGTCAGTATCACAGCCCATACACAGATCAAGTGAGTTGTGTGGCACATATGTATTCGGTACCCCTTTTTGTACCAATATTTATGTATTCAAATAAATAAGTTGACTCACTGTTAATGAATCTCAAACAATAAAAAACTGTTTGTAAAATCCTGATTTTCAAGAATTTTCAAGCTAGCATCAATATGCTATGAAATAAAACTATTTCCATATTGTAGTAACTTGCTTACTTACTTACGCCTGTTACCCCTCGTGGACCCGACCGTTGCTGCTACCTTGACGTGGTGGTCGGGCTTGCCTATCGTGATGAAGCAATCGAGCTATACTGGCTGGAACAATCGTTCCTCAAGGTCCTACCATGCCAGGCAGGTCGTTTGAAGAGCGGTGAGACTAAAAGCAGCAAACCCAAGGTCAGAAGGCGAAGTCGTACTGCTGACTGTACAGAGGTGTGACAGCAGTAAGGTGTTTCCTTCAGACAACCAGCATGACAGCGATGCTGCCTTCCCACAAGGAGGGGTGGGGTTAGAAAAGGTCGACCCTAAAAATGCACACCTCGCCTTATCCCACGGATATCCGTCTCCGGCGGTAAGGTTTTTTTTGAAGAACGGAGCTAACACAAAAAATATCCACAAAAATGTCGTGTGTGACCGACCTCAAGCAGTTGTCACTTGGGCACTGCGGTCACGCTCTCAAGTCATTAAGACCACCTTTAACCCAATTTCCTTTTCAGGTACCTCTAGAAGAACCCTTCCACGGTGTGGGCAACCGGTAAGTGATAACTGCTCTCATACCTCTAACAGCACTCAAGACTGACCCCTCGTGGAGGAGTATAAACCGCCACAATGTAATAACACTCACAATCTACTCAACTAAATTACTGAAATGATGCGAATATTGTTTAAAAAGACAAAACAAAAAACAGCAACATTTCAGTCATTATAATCTGTAAGGAAACAAAATGATTCACTTACTTGTATAGTATTATCATATTCAATACTTTTCTGTTTGTATCCAGATACAATTGTACTGTCCCTTTCATTTGTATTTGCAGTATTTAATCTTTTCATATCGCCATTCGTTGAAATCAATTTCCCATTTGAATGATTACAAACTTGATCATTCATATTATGTGTACTTGATAAGTTTGATATTAGTGTTGTAGTAGTATCGGTAGTCATAGTAGTATTAGTAGTAATAGTAGTATTAGTGGTAGTAGTAGTAGTAGTAGTAGTAGTAGTAGTAGTAGTAGTAGTAGTAGTAGTAGAAGTAGCATTAGTAGTACTACTATTAGTAGTATTATTAGTAGTATTGTTCTCATGAATGAAATTATTAACTTTTATATTAGATTTAGTTAAATAATTTTTAATGCATAATGAATCCAATGAACTATGTAAATCTTCATCTCCACTATCAATAGCTGAATCATCCGTGGAAGTGATAGTAAATTTACCAGTTAATAATTCTGTATCACTAAATACACCAAAACGTAAATCTTTACGTGCATTACGTAATTTACGAAATGTATCATAATAATTCATATGAGTTTCTAAGTCATAACTTCTAGAGTTAAGTGAATTCATTGATGTCATTGTATTGGATGAATGTTGGATTGTAGAACGTAATGGATAATGATAACGTAATTTTTGATCTCTGTTAAAAAGTGAAAAAAAAACAGAAACAGAATATTTCTCAAATGATTGTAATTTGAATTCCACGAGCGGGATCGTGGGTGCGCACTACTTATTTACTTACTTACTCCTGTTACCCTCAAAAAGGAGGAGCAGATGTCGACCACCAGCATTCTTTATTAAACTCTGTCCTAGACAATACTTTCCAGTTCTTTCAAGTTGTTATTTATTCTTTTCATATTCGCTTTTATTCCCCGACGCGGTGTGTTTTTTGACCTTCCTTTTTTTCATTTTACTTCAGGATTCCTAGTTAGCGCTTCCTTCATGATGCAGTTCGGTGATTTCTTCAATGTGTGTCCCATTCACCACGTCCAACCTCTTTTCGCAATTTCCTCTTCAGATGGAAGCCGGTTTGTTCTTGATAGTATCCTGTCAGTGAATTTTGAGTATTTTGCGTAGACAATTGTTGATAAATACTTGTAACTTCTTGATGAGTGCTTTAGTAGTTCTCCAAGTTTCAGCGCCGCACAGTTGAACTGACTTGACGCTCGTATTGAAAATTATTTCTTTGATGTTGATTTGTAGACAGTTGTTTTGAGTTCCATATTTTGTTCAACTGTAGAAATGCGATCCTTGCTTGGCCAACCTTTGCCTTTACGTATGCATCAGATTCTTATTGTTCAGCAATGATGCTTCCCAGGTAGTTGAATGTTTCCACATCTTCCAAAGCTTCTCCATCAAGTGTGATTGGGTTGATGTTCTCCGTGTTGTATTTGAGAATCTTGCTTTTTCCTTTGTGTGTGATGAAACTTATTGATGCAGAGGCTGCTGCTACGTTAGTTGTCTTCGTCTGTATTTGTTGGTGTGTATTGGATAGGAGGATTAGTTTATCTGTGAAGTTCAATTCCTCTAATTGATTCTGAAATGTCCGTTGGATTCTATACTTCCCCTGAGACGTAGAGGTTTTCATATTCCAGTCAATCACCAGAAGAAAGAAGAAAAAGGAGTCCCACAATAGGATGAAATGGACGTCCAGTTCATCCACGTTTTCCATGGTGGTCTAGTTTCAATTGACTTATGATCTTGACTATTAAATTTATTAAATATTTATTTGTTTTAACAGAATTATAGACTAAGTAGCCAACGTTTTTTTTAAAAAAATATCTGGCTTATCAGACATGGGGGGGGGACAGAATGGTACAGTTTTATTTACTAGATAATAATACCCCTTTGCTTTATCTTATATGGTAGTTAATATATAACATATTAATGCCAAATTGTATGTTGTTTATATTTAATGAATACATATCCATTTCAATCAATCAACCCTGTATTAAACTATGAATAAAATCCTATCCTATCAACTAACAAGAAATATGGAAAAAATGAACTATAGGATTAGAGATTATTACATAACTACTATTACATAACCGTATCTAACAGAATTAACCAATCAGTTACAAGTTTATATGAATTTATTGTTTACCCCATTTGAATCTGATTAATCTCTATAAGCTAGAGTTAATCATTTTAGGTATTATTTACATGAACGACTATAATTTTATGATTATTGTATGAATTTTAAGAAACTCAAGATTAGTTAAATTCACTTGGTATTGTTTGTTTTGAATCAGTCTCTTATTGACCATATGTCCATACTGTACGTATTGCCTTGATATAGCCTTAATTCATAAGCATTATAAACAAAGATGGATAGTGGATAGCAGTGGAACCCAGTTTGACGTGCGTTTAAAGTGAAAGGCACTGGGTTCGAGTCCCAGAGTGAACATCAATTCTAAGATGCAGGTACATCCAGCTGACGAGTCCCAAATAGGATGAAGTGAGCGTCCTGGATTACACTGCTAACCACCATTCATCTTTGCTTATTAAGTTTGTTAAGTTGTAATTAGTGTTCCTCAATAAACATTAAGTAAATTTTGATTGTTCCTTCAGATATACTATTTTCCGCAATTTGTTTATTGACGTTACGATGGAGACGATTTAATTTCTATTTATTTATGCATTATATGCAAATATTATCATACACTTAATAGGCTTCTTAAAGTATGCTTCGATGAAGTAGAACACTTAAAATAGTATAGATGAATTGGTGTTTTGTAGATTATTTTATAATGTGTTAGTCACAGATTCATTTTATTTGAGTTTCTGTTAAAAGCCAGAGAGTACTAAACAGCTGTTTTCTTCTAGTAAAAGAGTCCTGATCAGCACCTGGGGATTGATCACAGGACCTTCGTGTATCACAGATGGATCATAATCATGAGGGCTATTATATTAATATCTAATAGTAAATAAGACGTTACAACTGTAACAAATTCGCGATACATCCAACCCCATTACTAATATATGTCGCTATGAGATGGTGGAGAAGATTTGTAGCTCAGGTGGGTGATTTTGATAAAGTTTTGTTTTCTGAGCTGGATGGTTTGGTCGTGGAGATTTCATCGTCCTTCTGAACGACATAATCAGCACAAACTTTGAGTAGACTTTTACCTATCCTACATTAAAGTATGTTTTTTTTACAATATGCTTAGTGAAAGGAAAATATTTCAACGCTTCGTTGCTTTCAAATGTCTAAATTGTTCAAAGCATACTAAAACATAAATATATGTTTGATAATTTATTGATCAGTCAGAGATAAGAGTAAATGGTCGATGAACCTCGTTCTAAATTGTGGATAGAAATGTGTTTCATTTTATGTAGAACTCGTCCCTTGTTTTCATTTTTATATAAAAATTCGAACTTAGTACCTAACACTTCAAATAATAGCACATTATCAACTAAGCTACCAACTTGTTCAATAGATATGATTTTTTATGTTATTACTGTGGTGTGGGCTACTTATAATCACACATGTAGTATATAACGGTGGTCGGATAATGAATGTATTTCAATAGAAGATCGATATTGGAGAGAACGGAAACGAAATGCAATTGGTATGAAAATGCATGTTCAATAATAATCAAAGACTCTGGACTGATATTTGAAGAAGGAATGGTCAAGAATTAGACAATCGATTAGTATTTTGCAAATTAGATGTTTACTGTATGGTTGTTAGATTTTAGTGAGATAGTATGTAATTTTGTACACGAATACATTCGATTGTCCCCACTCGTCTTCTTATTCACTACATTACGACTACTATTATGATTGATAAACCTAAAGGATTGGTTTTAACAGAGTTATGATACAGAAAATACTGAATCGCAACTCATTTTTTATTGAAATAAATGATTAGAATCAAATGGATCGCCATTTTACCAAAAGCAATGTATATTAGGTATTCATATGATAACTAAATAGTCATATACTCTGTACGAGATGTGAACTTTCTTATGGTCATAAGTAGGGATCATCAGTTTGATTTCAATTAATTTTCAATAGAAATCCAATTGATGTCAGTTCTCATCGAAACAATCAAGAAAATGAATTAGACTTTGGAAAGTGCAACCATGACTTTCAAGGTACCCAGTTACCTCATCATCTGACTGTGGTAAGGTATTGATGCTGACATAGAGATATGGTTACAAGACGACTAGCCTGACATGATTTTCTTTGGGAAAATCTAAAAAAAATTTCAAACACAACTTTCAATAAGTCGAAATTCATATCTTAACTTGCTTAAGGAGTGTTTGAGTTGGTATTAGGCGACCAGATTCATAACTGACTATGGAGAAACTTCTCATAGTCAGGCTTATCTCACTGATAATGTGGTGTATTTTTAACGCCGATATAACTTTCTCAATCTTTATAAATTTTATTAGTATATTTTAGATGTTAATACTTTAGTAAAATGCACTTTGATAATGTATACATTTAGTTCATTTGTCAAGATTTATTGAAAGATATTCATAATATCACAAAGGGGGTTTGGTGGAGATTGTATTAACTTAATAATTAGATTCCTAAGTCAATTAAAGCTAGGGCATTTTATAAAATCTGGAAGCAATGGATGGCCATTCTGTCCCAGGATGGGACTATCCAGTAGTGCGCATCCAAGATCCCACTGGCGGAATTCCAACACACGATCCTTGGTCTGACTGAACACAATGGTAGGCGGTAATTCAATTTCGTGAATTGATTGAAGTTAGATATTAACACCATTGAATGCCGGCTCAATGGTCTACAGGCTAAACGTTCACGCATGAGTCCGAAAATCATGGGTTCAGATCTGGAGTATTGGATCGTGGATGCATACTTCTGAGGAGACCGAGAACAGGACGAAACGAAAACATCCCTTGCTTCCATGTTTATCATGGTGGTCTAGCTTAAATTGACTGATCAATTCAACTATTACATATAAGAAGGGGTTTTTTGTGGAGATTAATTATTTTCATAGTTGAAAGCGTGAGTCATTCGAAGCTAGACCACCAAGGAAAACCTGGAAACACTGGATGGCCATTTCGTCCTATTATGGGACTCCTCAGAAGTGCACATCTCGCCTCGCGAGATTCAAACACAGGACCTACCAGTCTCGCGACAGAGCACAACTGAGCCGGTATCCGATGGTGTTTATGTCTAACTTCAACCAATCCACGAAGTTGATCAACCGTTCACCAATTGTCTTCAGTGAGTTCCTATCTCACAACAAACTTGGTTGCGCACTGCTGATGAGTTTCATACAAAGACGAAACGGCCGTCCTGTGTTTTCATGTTTCCTATGGTGGTCTATCTTTAATTGACTCATAAATTCAACCATTACATATTAATATTAGTAATATCAGTTACAAAAATAATTGTCATAGTATAATTGAAATTAAGTCCCGAATTTTGTAAATGGGATACATATTACATGTAAACAAATATCATTTACATTACCATTATTATAAATCATAAAAAAATACCCAATTGTTTATCATTAATTTAATGTAAATTACAAATATGTCGTTTTGAAGGAAGGAAGGAAGGAAGGAAAGAGAAACAAACAAATTTATTTCTCCCCTTCTCCCCTCCCTTTTAATTTCGTTAACATATTTCTTTTTTGCTAAGTAAGTAGGGTGTGTGTGTGTGTAGGTGGGTGAGGGAACTTTTCAAAAAGTTATTACATAATTTACGATTGACATTATTGGAAAGTTTTTTAATAGATCCGCCATTAAGGGAAATATTCTTTCGTTTGTTTTATAAAGGTTACTATTATTAGTAGTATATTATTAGATTAATATTAAACATTAGAAATGACGCCAGTATTCTATTGAAAACATACATCAGATGAACCTTTAATGGGGGGTTAAGTTTGTTTATTTATTTATTAATTGATTAGTAATAATATTTTTTTCTGTTGACATATTTCTTTTCTCTATTTTTTTTCTTTTTATTATTAGTTGATGACTTAATTACTTTAATAAAGTTTATTATTATATGACATTTATTATAGGATTTTATTATAACTATTATATTGATGGAGTTTTGTTCTCTGAGCTGGATGGTTTGATCGTGAAGCTTTCATCTACCTTCTGAACGACATCATCAGCACAAACTTCGGATGTGATGATGTCGTCCAGAAAGAGAATGAAAGTTCTATGACCAGACCATCCAGCTCAAAAAAGAACAAAACTCCATCAAAATCATCCACTTGAGCTACAAATCTTCTTCACCATCTCAAAACTGTTATATAAATCAATTGATTGTAATTATTACTTTTTTAAGAAAACATATATAATTTTTATAAGTAAAGATAGATAGTGACTAGCAATGGTACTGCGTTCGAGTTTCAAAGTGAACATCAACTCTGAGATGCAGGTACATCCAGCTGACGAGTCCCAAATAGGATGAAGTGCTCGTCCTCGATTCCACTGCTAGCCACTATCCATCTTTGCTTATAATGCTTGTGAATTAAAGCTATATCGAGGCAATACACACAGAATGGACATATGGCCATTAAGAGACTGATCAATTGCTGTCCTAAACATCCATGGGAAGATTTAACCGAATAATACCAAGTGAATTTAATAATATAACTTTATTGTAACTGAATTGATTAGTTTCTATGCTAAATGTTAAGCAGATTTTCATATTTGTTTCAACGAAGTGAAAGAGGGGGGGTTGAAGAAAAGATATTAAATGGTTATTAATTAAATAATTACTGTGTTTCTCTTTATTTAATCTAATGAATGTGTTCTTTGTTTTATTGATTAAATGAGTGATTAAGGGATTATACGATACAATGTAATTGTATTTCATGGTATATATTATTACATAACATATAGCCAGGTTTGTGTTGATGTTACGTCTCGCCAGTTGAATGCTATTCGCTTTCCTAAGCTAGTTCCGTACCTTCGAGCTAGAACTACTCAGCGCGACTTGAAGACCAGAGAAAAGGCACAGTATGAGGAAAGCACTTTACTAAAGGGTTCATTTATGTACAGAAAATATGGGGATTTTATAGTAATTTAAGAGTCCTTGAGTTTTACCGAAAGTTCTAGAATACTGCTAAACATAGTAGCAGTGTATAAATTAGCCAATCAGGATCTTCACATGTGACTTTTTCATTCTCGTTATTTTAGTAACATAACTTCACATAACTTCTAATTAATGGCTGATTGGTTGAAATGCTCCTTGATGACTCACGAGCTTAACATGTCGCTTGCGAGTATAGTGCAGGATCATCCCAACAGTTGACAAATTACAATAGTGAACTATATTGAGTATTTTGACTGATTACTTAGACATATTGTATGCGATAACTTGATAATCCATAATGATAATAATGATTGTATATATATTGATGAAATATCAAGTGTATTACCTTGGGATCTGTTATGTCACGATAACGATAATGAATGGTAACTGTTAGGATCCGTTTATGAACTAATACTATACATATATTTTTGATCGTACAATTGTTAAATAACTAAATTATTCATATTCATATATAGATCCGTAGATTGCTTTCAACAAAATCTAAAGTATACCATACACTTCAATCTACTTATATTTACAGGACTAATATATTTTGTAGTTGAAAGCCTGAGTCAATTGAAGCTAGACCACCATGGAACACCTGGAAACACTGGACGGCCATTTTGTTTCGGCAACTTTGTGAATCAGTTGAAGTTAGACATGAACACCGTTGGATGGCAGCTCAGTGGTCTATCGGTTAAGGGCTTCGGCTCGAGACTGGTAGGTCCTGGGTTCGAATCCCGCTCGCGAGAGCAGGTTCGTGGATGCGCACTGTTGAGGAGTCCCATAATAGGACGAAACGGCCGTTTAGTATTTCCAGGTTTTCCATGGTGGTCTAGCTTCAATTGACTCAAGCTCTCAACAATAATATATTTTAGTTTGAAATGTATCACAAATAATCAAACAACTTGTTATATATCATTCGAACACATCTACATTTGATTCAAGATTTCTCGATGTATACACCGATTACTTAAATCACTTGAAGTTAGATTGAATTATGAAATACTGTGATGAACGAGAACACAAGTGGGAATAATCGAATGTAATTGAATATAAAATTGCAAAATCTCTTTGTAAAATCTGAGAAGCATACATGTCGATTAGTTGTTTCTTTTGCAAACATCAGTTAACCGTCTAAGTCTTCATTGTTCTTTTGTTTCTATACTAATCATTCTTTGTTCTTGTTCTCTATTCTTTGATCTTCTTAGAACTTCTACTTTCAAGTTTGTTTTTTTTTCATTTTTAATTGATAAATATATACTACTTATATCTATCTATATCAGTTGTATACACCATAGTATAAATCAAATAAATTTTCATTTCTGTTATTTCACTAGCAACGTTCGATTTCATTCTATATATTACAAATCATGAAGATATAGAAATCAATTTTTGCATAGTAACTAAATAAAGTAGATTAGTTGTGTAATGATCAAGTCATATGTATAATAATATTTCAACTTATGTATATAAGGCATGTTAGTTATTTGAATACAATCAAAATACCAATGAGAATATTTATATTTCAAGTTCAATTTAAGGTTCTCTAAGTGAGATCATCAAATAAACAGTGTCAAAACATCCTTCTATAGAACAATGTAACATCATTTAGATATTTAATTGGTCTTTACATTAAGTCTATTCTAAACTATAAAACGTTTTTTAGCGAGTTAGTATTCTAATAGACGGTGTCGGTAACCCCATATCTAACCCTCCTCCTTTACCCGGGCTTGGGATCGGCAGTAACTCTAGAAGAGCTACAGGCTGATTCCCTAGCTTGGAATTCGAAAGGGAAGCGGAAAATAGGAAGTCCAAAGAACATACAATGTCGGAAAATAGAAGCAGATATGAAAAAGATAAACAATAACTGCAAACAACTTGATAATATTGTCCAGAACAGAGTTGGATGGAGAATGCTGGTAGTCGGCCTATTCTCCACCATGAATGGTAACAGGTGTAAGTAAGTAAGTAAGTAACTACTTTTTAATGTAAAAATTGATATTCCTGTCCTAAGAGTTGATTTACTTTACCATTTAAACGTTTAAAAATAGCAAAAAAACATGTTTATATAAGTGGAATGTAAACTGATTTTTGGTATGATTACACTAGTTAAACAACTAATATACAAAATGAAATTAATAATTTTTAGTATTCTCTTTAACCCCATACTGATATTTACTATGTGGTCACTAGTGACTAGCTTCGTGAGAGAATCATCGGAGTTCTAGTGAGATCCAATGATCAGTGGAACTAAGCCATGTAAAGTAGAGATAGGCCTCAGTACCTCAGTACAATGGAAGATGGTTGAGCAATTTCGTAATTTGGTTGATGATAAACATTAACACTGTTAGATGCTGGCTCACTGATTCAGAGATTAAGGGTTCACGCGGGAGATCGAAGATCCTGAGTTGGAATCCTGTAAGCGGGTTTGTTAATGAGCACTGTTCAGGAGTCCCACAACAGGATAAAACGGCCGTGAAATGCTTCTAGGTTTTCAACGTTGATCTAACATCAATCGATTTATGATCTCAATCAAAAACATAATATTTTCAAATGATTAATGTACTTTTTAGTTTATAGTTGAAATCATGAGTCAATTGAAGCTAGACCACCATGGAAAACCTGGAAGCACTGGATGGCCGTTTCGTTCTACTGTGAGACTCCTCAGCAGTGCTCATCCACGATCTCACCTCGCGAGATTGGAACCCAGGACCTACTAATATTGAGGCAGAGCACTTAACCGACAAACTTCAAGAGATAATTCCTGGAGTTTCTAGTGAGAAGCAGTGACCAATGGAGTTCAAACCACGTCTGTTGTGAGATATCAACTCACTGAAGACAATTGGTGAACGGTTGCACAACTTCCTGGATTGTTTGAAGTTAAACATTAACATCATCGGTTGCTGGCTTAGTGGTCTGTTGGTTAAGTGCTCTGGCGAGAGACTGATAGATCCTGAGTTCGAATCTCGTGAGGTGGGTTCGTGGATGCAGACTTCTGAGGAGTTGCACAATAGAACGAAACTGCCATCCAGCGCTTCCAGGTTTTCCTTGGTGATCTAGTTTCAATTGACTTATGCTTTCAACTATGATTAATGTATTAATTGAAAAAGATATTAAACTAACCTGCATAAAATTTGTTTTGAATTCGATAGAAATTCAATATTTTGATTAGGTGATATATACACTTTCGATGGTTTATTCATTTTATCATTATATTTCTTTTCAATACAATTATTGACTTTTAAATTATGATCACCTTTATGATTATGATTATTATTATTATTATTACTATTATTAGTATTAATATTGTTGCCAAGTAATTCATAATAACTTGATGGACCAGAATCTACTTCCATGATTGTTTTTAATTGAATATTATTTACAATTGAATTACGAAATGAATGTGAATAACTTTCATTCAATGATGAAATGAAGTACGAATTTGAAGTTTTCTTCCAATTAGTTTCTATTGGTTTATTAACTATTAATGGTAAACTTCTTGTACCTAATATCATATGACTATGTGCTCCGATGATTTCATGTTGTAATCCATGATATGGTATATCTTGTAATTGTATCCATCCTTTAGATAATGATTTATTACACCAATATTCATTATGTTTAGTTTGATTAAAAGGTGAAATGATATCAGTTATAAGGTGAAGGTTTTGTACTAGTTGGCAATTAGATGATTCTGTTTTATATTTTAATAAATTTTTAGATGATACTATTGTTGTTTGTTCATTTAAATGTTTCATTGTATAGTTAGGGGGATGAATCAGGGATGATGAATCAGTTAGTGGTAGTAGTAGTTTCAAAGAGTTTGTCCGTAAACAAGTTTCATTTAAAGTGGAATCAACATTTGTTATTTGTAAATTAGGTAAAGATTTTGATTGTATCCAGTTAAATTTTATTGAATTCAATGGTTGTTTTTTATAGAATTGTGCAATCTGTACAAACATACAAAGAGAATGAAGATTTAAAGGAAATACTTCAAACTAAGGGATGAAAATGAGTTAGATAGTAACTAGATATTGGAAAAAAAAATGTGAAATTTACAAATTCTGTCGGTTATGAAGTTAAATGTTCATAAGCAAAGCTGGATAGTGGCGGGCAACGGAATCCAAGACGCGCTTTTTGTTTTATTTGGAACGCGTCAGCTGGATGTACCTGCATCTTATAGTTAATGTTCACTCTGTGACTTGAACCCATTACCTTTTGCTTCAAACGTCATCACGTTATCCACTCAGCTACTGAGTCCTGGTAGCCACTTGCTTGTGCACTGAGTTGAAGTTTGAATTCACTTGGTATTGTTTGTTTGAATCTTCCCATTGATTTTTTAGGACTGTAATCCCAGACTGTACATCAACTTTGAAATGCAGGTACATCCATCTGATGAGTCCCAAATAGGATGAAACGCGCGTCCTGGATTCCAATTCTAGCCACTATCCATCTTTGCTTATAATGCTTATGAATTAAGGCAATATCGAGGCAATACACACAGTATGCGCATATGGCCAATAAGAGACTGATTAATTGCAGTCCTAAACATCAGTGGGAAGATTCAAACAAACAATACGAAGTGAATTTAAATGTTCATTGTTTGTCGGTTGGGAAATATAATGATAATCAAACTCAAGCTTTCGTTATCATTCTTTCTTATCGATTTACTTGGCTAATGATCATAAATTTTTTCAATTCATTCTAAATAGTGATCCATCAAAGTCTCTATCTGCTTAAGTAACAATCGTGTAATAGTAATATAACAAGAATTACATGAAGTTAATATTACTTGTATGATTCAGAAATCTAATTTGACATAAGAAATGATTCCGTAAACAAAACTAAATTCAAATTATAAGCAAAGATGAATATTGACTAGAAGTGGAATCCAGGACAAAGCGCGTTTCGTCCTATTTGGGACTCATCAGCTGGATGTACCAACATCTCAGACTTGTTGATGTTCACTCTGAAACTCGAACCCAGTACCGTCCACTTCAAACTAAATTCAAATTGTTCTTTGTTATAACGTTGTTTCATTTTTAATGAAAAAAAAATTGAATACGAGAGATGTAGTAGTTGTAGTTACACCTGTTACCCACCAATGGAGCATAGGCCGCTGACCAGCATTTTCCAACGAGAAATGGTTTTGCGTAAAATATCTATTTATGTTCACCAAAAAAGACATGAAGACACGTGGTTGGATAACTTTGATACAGTGTTTTCGAATTCAGTAACATGTAAACATGTAAAGCGGTTAGTACGAACAAGATATAGAAGAATTTATCTATTAGAAAACTTCAGATTATATATTCGAAGACATACTGTGGCTCGTTTATAATTATATGACTTTGTAAAGAATGGTAATTATAACAATAGTTAAGTTCGCGGCTTTTGAAAGATGTGACGATATATGTTTATCAAGGGAATCCCAAAGAAAATGTCCGGTCAAACTACTGACAACCCATTAGTATGGATCATTATAGGGAAATATATAAACGAAAATGCGATCAATATGTTTTCAGTCAACGGAACCAGGTAGTTCAGTAGATAGTGCGTTGGCGTTTGAAATAAAAGATATTGGATTCGAGTTTTCATGTTTACATTAACATTGAGATACAGGTACATAAACCTGACGAATCTGAGATAGGATGAGATGAATTTAGTGTAATTGGTTGCTGGTTTCAATTTATCCATTCAAAAAACGTGTAATGGTGAAAATATAATATCACTAATTTAACAAACCTATTTCATGTATGCAAACTTACTAACACCTGTTACCACTCATGGAGTAGCATAGGCTGACCATCAGCATTCTCTGTCCAACTCTATCCCGAGGAATCCTTTCCAATTCTTTTCATTTGCTATTCTTCCTTTTCATGTTTGCTTCTATTTTCCGACGTAATGTGCTCTTTGGTCTTCCTATTTTCCGCTTCCCTTCAGCATTCTGAGTCAGGGCTTGCCTTATGATGAAGTTTGATGATTTCATCAATGTGTGTCCCGCACACCACTTCCAAAGTCTTTTCCTAATTTTCTCTTCAGTTGGAAGCTGGTTTGTTCCTTTTCATAGTAGACTGTTGCTGATGATATCCGACCAACGAACGTTGAGTATCTTGCGTAAACAATTGTTTATAAATACTTGTACATGCTTCATTATGGTTGTGGTAGTTCTTTACGTTTCAGCTCCGTACAGTAGAAATAACTATCTTGACGTTTGTATTGAAGATTGTGAATTTGATATTGGTTGACAGTTGTTTTGAATTCGATATGTAGTTCAGTTGTAGGAATGAGGCCCTTACGTTGCCAATCTTCACCTTAACATCTGCATCCGATACACCTTTTTCATCGATGATGTTATCCAGGTAAGCGAAAATTTACATACCATTAAGAGTTTCACCATCAATTTTGATATGTTTTGTGTTCTCCATATTTTATTGGAGGATCTTGCTTTTTCCTTTGTGTATATTGAGGCCTACTGATGCTGTTGATCTACATTTTTGTGTGTGAATGGGATGGAAGGGCCAGGTCATCTGCGAAGTCCAAATCGTCTAGTTGCATGTAAGCTGTCCATTTTATCCCGTGCTTCCCTTGAGTTGTGAAGGTCTTTATAATCGAGTCAACCACTAGAAGTAAAAGAAAAGGGAGGGGAGTCGGCAGACTTGTCTGGCTCTGGTTCTTAATTGCAATGCATCTGTCAGCTCTAGTCTATACACGACTAGGTATGAATTCTGGATGACGTTGACGAACTTTCCAACTACTAACTACGTATTGTCAAAAGCGTCTCCATAATGTTCTCCAATCCACATTGTCAAATACTTTCTCATAACCAAGGAAGATGATATATAATGACGAGTTCCATTCGATTAATTATTTAACAATGATCCGTAGTGTGACAATTTAGTCTGTATGCGACCGATCCTTAAGGAATCTGGTCTGTTGATCTCAAAGTTAAGCGTCTACTCGAGTCTTTCATCCAGTTCAGGAATACTCTATTAAAAACCTTGTATACTAAGCTTACAACTTAACTGAATCATACAACAAAACATCATTGACTTACATCAGTATTTGAATGATCCAATGATTGATCAACTGTACATTGATTCCATGAAGATAATTGATGAAGACGATTGTCTATAGAATTCTGTACAAAATCATTCGTCTTATTATTATTATTCTCATTATTTGGCTTTACAAAGAAATCATATTGTAAATCTTTTATGGAATGAGATGAACCATTAGTATTAACATTATTATTACCACTACTACTACTATTACTGTTAGTAGTATGGTTCCATAAATGGGTATTCTGTTTATCAGTAGTATAATTATATAAAGATAAATTTTCTGCTGAATAATAATAATGATAATTATAATCATCATTTCTTCTTGTTGAATTCTTTAATGGTATTGTATAATATTTATAATGGGAATGTATAGTTGGTATTGATTTTTGTGAAATTTGTTTTAATTTATAAAAAAAATTTTTTAATTTTAAATTTTTTTTAATATTTTTTTTAATAAGAAAATAATCACTATGGTGATTATTAGTTACATAATCATTAGAATTATTTAAAGATGAAATGAATTGTTTATTACATAGAATAGAACATAATAATGAATTAATTTGTTCTAATTGAATTACTCGTTTATGTAATTGATGATAATTTAATAGAATATCCTAATAAGAGAAAATGGATATATATTCAGGTTGAAGGTATAAATAGATCAATAATAATAATAATAATAAAGAACAACCGATACCTAGACGATCATCATCATCATGGTGATCTCCTTAAACATTCGAACTACCTGTTCCTAAAAATATACATATTTCAACAAGTTATCTGTATTTTGTTTGTTTTAATACATCATTATGGTTATTAATCGCATAATCCTATTCAGGTGCGTTTCTGTGGAGTGTACAACCTGTAAAAGTTACAAAAGGCCTAATTTGAGATATTGTAGTTGCTGTTAATATTTAACGAAAAGAATGTACATTATTCTGATGTTCGTTGACTGGACTAATGACGTCTGACTGATGATTACTCAATATTTATTGTCAGCTTTAGTCAATGAAGTAAGAAACGGAAAGTTGTTGGAATACCTTTTGCTGAGAATTCTATATTGTGCCGAAAATATAATATCGAATAAAGCTAATACTAACAAACTATAATAAGAAAAATAATAATGTGCATACCTTATTTTCCTCCAAGAAGGGTAACAGGCGTAAGTACGTTAGTAAGTAAAATGATACTTGTAAATTTTTTCCATTAATTACTCAGTTTTATTTTCATAGAGTTAAATCTACTTCCGGCATGCAGAATCATGGATACGCACTGCTAAGGAGTCTCATACTAGAACGAAACGGTCATCCAGTTCTTCCAGGTTTATCATGGTGATCTAGCTTCAATTGGCTCATGATCTCAACTTTATAAAAGAATGATTATATTGACGAAAAAAGTGAGGAAACTTTTTTAAACAGATAACTAACTGTTATGACTCAGAGACTACCAATGAAAGTGTTACCGATTAGTAAGCTGATTATTATCTTATTCAGTTATCTATATATTTTTCTGAAATTTATGTATCAATTAATTTGTATTGTAATATCTGTCTTCTTGCACTTTGCAGATGACCTAACCCTCCTATCTCATGCACACGAACAAATACAGATGAAGGCAACTAAAATAGCAGCAGCCTCTGGACCAATAAGCCTCAATATACACAAATGAAAAAGCAACATCCTTGAATACATTTTGGAGAACACCGACCCTATCAAAATTGATGGAGAAGCTTTGGAAAATGTGAGAACATTCACATACCTCAGAAGCATCATTGATGAACAAGGAGAATCTGATTTAGATTTAAAAGCGAGGATTAGCAAAGAAAGGGCCACATTCCTACAATTGAACAACATATGGAACTCAAAACAACTGTCGACCAATATCAAAGTCACAATCTTCAATATAAACGTCAAGAATTTTCTACAGTAGAGAGCTGAAACCTAGAGAACTATCACAACCATTATCAAGCATGCACAAATATTTTGAAATAATTGTCTACGTAAGATACTGAATATCCGTTAATCGGATACCATCAGGAACAGTCTACTGAGGCAGAGAACAAACCAGATTTCATATGACGAGGAAACTACGAAAAGATACTGAAGGTGGGTAAGACATACATTGAGGAAATCATCTAATTGCATCACGAGGCAAGCGCTAACTTGTAATCCTCAAGGAAAATGGAGAAGAGGAAGACCGGAGAACTCACTGCGTCGGAAAATAGATGCAGATATGAAAAGGATGAATAGTAAGTCGAAAGAACTGAAAATTACTGTTCAGGACAGAGTTCGATGGCGAATGGTGATGGTCGGCCTATGGTCCTCCACGACGGATAACAGGCGTGAGTATGTAAAAAAAGTATTTTACCTACAACTTACCTTTTGCGATATATTTGTATAGAGTAAAAGATTAGTTAACTGTTCAACTGTATTTGAATTCTTCAAATCAGCATATTCAGGTGATGTAAAGTTTACTGTAGTTGGATTCATTGGATTGGAATATAAAAGTTTTAAAAACTCTTGAAGATCTTGTTGTCCATTTAATGATTTTGTCAAAGGTAAAACCTTTAAAATTAAGATAATGATTAAAATGTCATTATGAGAGTAAATAATATATTTGAATATGAAATAGATATTTATATTTAGAAGTACTTTGTGCCATAAGCTCACTAGTGAACAGCTTCGTGAATGAATTATCGGAGTTCCAGTGAGATGCTATTATCAGTGGAACTAATTCATGTCAGATAGAGACAGGTATGTACCTCAGTACAATAGAAGATGATTGAACAATTTTGTGAATTGGTTCATGTTAGACATTGACACCGTTAGATGCTAGCTCACTGGTCTAGAGGTTAAGCGTTCGCACATGATATTGAAAGTCCTGGATTGGAATCCTGTGAGCGGGATTGTTAATGTACCTTGTTTGAGGAGTCCAATAACAAAATGAAACGTCTGTCCATTGCTTCTAAGTTTTCAATCGTGATCTTACATCAAAAACTTAACAATCTCCACAACCCTATACTGATAATAATGTATTAGCAAAAAGTTAACTTATTATAAAGATTAGCTAATTCATAACAGATAAGGATCGATAGGTACAACATAATTGATCGAGTTCTTAGTAAAAAGAGACTTTTGGTGATTTTAAAAAAAAGAAATGTTCAAATTTACAGAAACACAATGATAAGTAGTCTGACTGACTTTAAAGAAGTAAATACGAGGAGTCAAGTAGCATTGATTATCTATCAAGTACTTTATGCTTCAGTTGTCAATGCTATATCCCTTGATCCAATAAGGAACAGCTATGAATTCAATTTATAAATATTCATGATGTGTCAGAACACAATTCATTCCACTGTTTTTCGCAATCTATATATTCTCTAAACGTATGTGATAATGCAGCTATATTGAAGCGTTCAGCACAGGATTTACACATGCTGACTAATACTAGTAGGAATTCATTTAAGAATAGTGGTGAATAGACAATTCAAATCCTTGAAAACGATTTAATTGACTGATTATTACTTAATTCTGTGTTTATAAATTGAAATAAAATGTTAGTTAAACACACTTATCCACTGATTGTTCTCATAGCATATCATTTTTCCTTTTCAAAACATGAAGTATTGAAGCTAAAGATTTCAGAAGTTTTAAGCTAACAAATAACTATGCTTCCTGATTTTCGAAGATTGTCTCAAGATGTAAACTACAGGATCTAAAAATCTCAGTCAATTCGTCTATACTGATAAACTATATTAGTGTGCTCACTAGAAGCTTGATTTGAGATGAATCCTAGTAGAAAGTAATGACTTGTGGAGCCTGGGCACGTTTAGAATGAAACAGTCTTAAAGAGTAACGTCGCATGATCTTCGTGATTCTTTGTAAATTGGTTGAAGTTATACTAATGTATCAATGGACAGCAATCGGTTAGCTTTATTGCATTAGTGTTCTTATGTTAAACTCCTGATGTTAAAAAAGCATAGTGTTTGAAATTCCCATGCTAAGACATCTATCCAGTCGTCTCTGGTTTCGTATAATACCACAGTTATGACCAATATATAGCGAACACCTACAGTTCATACATTATTCGCTAAAATATTTACACAAATCAATGTTTATTATTCCAAACTTAGTAAAAGTGCTGATGTGATTTGGAAAAATAACAGGGAAACAGATCAGTTTCTAACATATTCTCTAAGTAGGTAATAGTAATTTTGTTATTCCAAATGTAGGTCATCAAAAAGATTTAAAATCATCATTCATACTATAGGACTCAGTAGCTAAGTAGATAACGCAATAGTGTTTGAAGCGAAAGGTACTGGGTTCGAGTCTCAGAGTGAACATCAACTCTGAGATGTAGGTACACCATGCTGAAGAATCCCAAATGGAACGAAATGCACGTCCTGGATTATTGCTTATACTCTTAATACTTCCACCACTATGGGATTTGAATGGACAACTTCATCTCTATGCTAATGTGGTATGGCAACTTGAACTGATGTACGTACGTACGAAGTTCTACGTTGTGACTGAATGACTGACTGACCATCCATCTTTGCTTATAAAACTTGAAGAATATAGTTTTTCAGTTATCATTCAAATGAAACTTTAATTAATTTTATGGTTATAGATAGTTTTTGTTTCTATAGTTGGTATCCCTTAATGATAAAGTTACACTTATCCTTTATATTGTTAAAACAAAAATAAAATAATAATTTAATAGATAAATTCTAAATGAATTAAGTAAAACAAGAAACAAAACAAGGGAATGATATATTTTTAATATAATAATGAGTAGAAAAATGAGATTTTCTGACGTTTCGTCACTTAGTGTAAGTCTCTTCTTCAAAGAATTCAGTTTTGTATTCTCTGAAGAAATGGTTTACATTGAGTCACGAAACGTCAGAAAATCTTATTTTTCTACTCATTATGATTTTAAAAATATATTAATTTATTTATATCAATCTACCCAAAGATCAATTTATTCAAAATTTTTCATAGTTGAAATCATGAGTCATTTGAAGCTAGACCACAAAGGAAAACCTAGAAGCATTGGATATGAACACCGTTGGATGCCGGCTAGATGATATATGGGTTAATTGCTCTGGCGCGAGATTGGTATGTCCTGGGTTCAAATCTCGCGAGTGCGGGATCGTGGATTCGCCCTGTTGAGGAGTCCTATAATAGGATGAAACGGCCATTCAATGCTTCCAGGTTTTCCATGGTAGTCTAAATTCAATTAACTCATGATCTTAACTGAAATCTCCACAAAACCCTTTCTAATTATTCATAATTATCAAATTAAAACTTGGTAATGATACTTAAAAACCAGAAAAGTTTTAGTTGTTACATTTTATACCATTACAAAACGAAAAAAGGCAAAGAGAGTGAAAATAGATTTCACTTAGTCAACATCATCTGTGCAATTAATTCTATAAAAATGTTTTTGTTGCTGAGACAATATACTACTACTTTACTTTGTAATTAAGTAGTATATCAATATATATTATATAATGAATCTTATTAAATGGTCACTTGTCGTTTAATTGCCAATAGATTATAATGTTTCTCATTCATTTATACATACGTATATACATACGGGTCATTTGATTTATGTATATCTATATCTATACATACATATTGAAGTACAAAGGACACTATAATTTATGTTCTATAAGCCAAATTAATAGCTAAATTAGTAATAGCCAATAATGCTATTTATATCATTATTATAATAATAAATGAATATGGTTACTAGTAATATAGTAGTATAATAATGGATATACCATAAACATCTGTGCATGGCAACAGTATTGTACATTATGTAAATGAAGCTTTAAACAAGAGAACATAATGTCTATCTTATCATTTTATCTCTTTTAAAAAAATTTAAAAAAAGAAAAAGAGAAAAGAAAAAAGGAAGAAAAAAGAAAAAAAGAAAGAAATAGTCTCTAAGAGATAAAAGTAAATGAATATTGTATTTTAATGATACGATTTATATCAATATATTTCAGAAAGGACTCTTTTCTTTAAGAAGAGAAAAAAAGAATTATGTATTTTTCTTTGGAAACAGTGTTGTTGCCCCGGTAGGTCAACGGATCTATGGAGGTCAGAGAGTCACAGATTCAACATTCTGATGGAAAGTTTGGCAATGAGTGTAGTGAAAGAAGAAAGTGACATGGTGAACAGAACCATTGTATGAACAAATGCTTTAAAATGGGAACTACTTATATCCTCATAAGTAGTATATGCTGATGGTTAGACAGAATGTATTTTGGCAGAAGACCGATAAGGAAAGAACACGAATGAAGCGTAATTTGTAGGAAAATGCATAAACAATGAAATTAGAGAAGATGGACTGATATTTACAGAAAGAACAGTGAAGATTGAGACAATTGATTGTTATTTTACTAATTAACTATTTGCTGTATGGTTATCAGATCTTAGAAAGAGAACAAAACTTCACCTTCTCCACCATCTCACAGTTTTAAGTGTCCTCAATTGTTTTAGTTTGAACATAGAATCAAACATCCAGACAGTATCTTCTCTATTCTTCATAAAGGTATATTTTCTATCAGATAATTTGGTTTAGTTATAGTTTATTAGGTATTATATATTAGGCTTTCTTTTTGTTTGAAAGATTTAAAATAAGAGTGCACTGTAACATTCTATTATTCCACCAACCCTCTGATTTACTGGTTTCGTGTAAATTTTTTACAAAAAGTCTTATTCATAAATAAAGATTGGGTATTATGAAGTTGAATAATATGTGGCGGCACGGTCAATGGGTTATTGATAAGTTTGTCATTGATAACTTCATTCTTGTATTTGACTTATTTTAATTTCATTATTGACTAACGCCTCTGCTAGGGAAGTCCTACTAACTGAATTCTCGTGGCATTACCGATGTTTACGAAATTGAGAGGACGAAAAGCGAAGGTCCGACGCTTTAACCGGGTTGGTGGATACGGAAAGGAGTTAGAAAACCGTGATTCCAAACCAATGGTGCACATGGGCTCCAGTATCCTGATGAAACAAATGGCGTATGAACCAATTGTTGGTCACCAGCTACTATGGGACTACATCTCCTCACGATGCTCAACTGCCTTGTAGGTCAGATATTTAAGTCGAAAGCTCCATGTGTGGCCCCCTAATGAAACCACCTGGTTCGGTCTGGGCACATGGGCAGTATCACAGTCCTCACAAAAATCAAATGAGATTTGTATGGCGCATATGTATCTGCTGCTTTCTTGTACCAACATTTATGTGTTTAAATGAATAAATGAATTAGAATGTTACTGAAAATGATGAAACACTGAATGGCTGTTACATTCTAATATGGAGATTTTCATCAGTTTGCTCAATGCCAGGCCTAAAGATTTTAGGTTTGATTCCAAGCGGAATAATAGATGTCGAGTTGTCCCACACAACCTTAAAGTGATCCCTGATTTGATATTGATCCTCAGGTCAAAACAGTTATGTGATGAAAATCTTTTAAAATCTGAAAGAATTCTTACGAATACAATTCGCTTAACAGTCACTATAATAAATTCACTTGGTATTGTTTACTTGTATCTTTGGATTGTTGTTTAACACTGTAAATGATCAGCCTCTTATTCGTATATGTGCATACTGTGCGCGTTGCCTCGATATTGCCTTAATTCACGAGCATTATAAATAAAGATGGATGATGACCAGAAGTGAAATTCATCACGCATATTTCGTTCTATTTGAGACTCGTCGGCCGGACATACCTTCATCTCAGAGTTGATTTCCACTCTGAGACTCAAACCCAAGCACGTCGAGCTGACGAGTCCCAAATAGGACGAAACCTGCGCCTTGGATTCTACAAAATTGGCCACTATTCATCTTTGTTTAGTAATAATAATACCTTAAGATGGTATTAAACTTTTATAAAGCTGTGAGCTTGTAGATGAATAAATTATTAGAGATGGTTATAAATTTACTTTGTAGCTATCCATTATTCTTTTCCCAAAACCTTTCAATAGAACTCTTGAGTTTATTGTATTTGGCCTATATTCAAAATGACCTCTGTAGTAAAAGGAACCTTCAAAAGTGCATGTAAGGATTTTAATTTTAGATATTCCCATGATAATCACGTTTGTCATCTTGAAATTTATACTTCTGTTATCCCGGAGATCAATATGGATTAAGATCTCATGAAGAGAAAGTCTATTGTGATTGTTTTCTTAATTTTTTTTTTTGCGATAAATCTTCAGGTTTATGATGTTTGAACATCTGGGCTACCTATTCCTGCTATCGAGATATTACAACAAGTTATCTAATCTTGTTTGTTTTATTACATCATTATGCCTATTAATCGCATAACCCTATTCAGGTGCATTTCTGTAAAGTGTACAATCTTTCACTGTAAAGGTTACAAAAAAGCCTAATCAGAGATATTGTGGTTGCTAGCGATATCAATGCTGCGAAAACAATGTACATTATTTAGATATTGATTGACTGGACTGCTAATTTTTAACCGGCGATCACTTAATATTTATCATCAGGATCGACCAAGAAGTAAGATACGGAGACTTGCTGAGATACATTATGCTGAGAATTTTATATTGTACCAATAAATATAATAAGTAATTTCCTAAGAATGATAATAAGTAGTATGAGATTGCTCACTCTTTCTTCCAGTTCTTTATAACGTTGTTGAAGTATTAAATTCTCTTGTTCTAAACTTTTGACACGTTCAAAACATTCTTGTTTCACCTAGAAAGAAAATACAAAATATATAAATGAATTAGAATAGATAGTAAAGAAAGTCTACAAGATTGTATGAATGGTATAAATTTTATGTAGGTTATAATTACAGAAGTTCCATATTACGATTGTAGTGTGTTGTGGTCTACTTATATCCATATAAGTAGTATATGGTGATGATTAGACATAGAATGTATTTTGACAGAAGATCGATGGGGAACGAACACGAATGAAGCGCAATCGGTATGAAAATGCATAAACAATGAAATCAGAGAAGACGGACTGATATTTAAGGTAGGAACAGTTTAGATTGAGACAATTGATTGTTATTTAGCAAATTAACTGTTTACTGTATAGTTATCAGATCTTAGTAAAACAGTTTGTAATATGTGCTTAATTACATTCGAATTTCCCCATCCGTTTTTCATTCACTACAGTAGAATCATAGAAACTGTAAATAAAGCAATGTAGATTGTAATTGACGTTGACTCCAATAAAGGGTTACTGTACATTTTTTAATGAAATGACAATTATGTCCAGTATCTACGACAATTTGATTGTTATTTGTCTAAAATGTTTTATATTGCTTTCTAGTCCGTTCAACATACATTAAATTGAAAAAGAAACCTTGACTAGTCTTTAAGGATTGAGAAAATAGATGAGCTCGGTCAACAGTTTAGGGAAGATATAGCAACAAAGTTATTGAATTGTGTTTTTATTTTTCATGGAGAATAAGTAAGATAAGCAACAGTTAAGTAACATTTACTCATGTAGCTAGTTGGATTTAGTGAACATGAGATATGAAAACGGTCATTATGCCATATGCAAGTCAATTAACAGCAGGTAAATTTTTAAAACAAATCAATATATCGAGTTTAGAGATCTTCAACAGTGAACTATAAAAGTGTTAACATTTTTGTTAACTAGAGAACCTACGACTTTGAAAATTATCTTAGTGATAACTACTATACGGTTTCATAGAATTGCTGAGTTTTTTTTAATAGGTAACGAGGATTTTTAAGTAAGTTATTCCGATTATAGTATTTAAAATTGTAGGGACGGTCCACAGGTGAAGTTGGGGAAGATCTAAGAAGCCTAGAAGGAGCCGAACATATTCCATCCAATCAACTTTTAGAAGAATATTCTAGAATCACTGCGTGTAGCTTCCCTATTGGACAATGCTAATAACCCCCTGTGTGCGGATTGGTTAACTATAATGATGATTTCGTTTCTACTAAAAACTATTAATACCTGACAGTTTTGTACCATTATTGACACTGTTTGGAATAATATTCCTTCTACTTGTCTTCTATCATCTGATTTTGTAACTTAGGAGGGTTGTAGCCTTCGAATGCTCAAGTATTCGGTGACATACTAAGAATCTTAGTTCGAGATATAACAGAAATACGTTCTTTTATATGATGAATGTTGTTTTTCCTACAGAAGACTCAAAGCGAAACGAAACGAAACAGTTAGAAAAAATATTATTGTGGATTACAATAAACAATTGGTTTAATGGTTAATTGGATTGAATAAGTTCACTTACTTGTTTAATAACTTCACTAAGTATATTCCATGGTTTATTACAATCTGAATAATTTTGTTGAATCTTTTCGTAAAATAACCTGTAGAGTAATAAGTAAGCAAACATATTATGTGTTAAGTTAAGAGGGTACGTGTACAGTTGAATTCATGAATCAATTAAAGCTAGACCCCCATGAAAAACTTGGAACCATTGGACAGCCTGCTCAATGGTTTAGAGAGCAAGCATTCACGCGCGAGACCAAAGGTCCTGAATTTGAATCTCATTAGCGGTATGAAGTATCAATTATTTTAAGACTGGTGAATGTTACCGATTGATAATAAATAGGTGAATTACTGAAAATAGATGAATACTGACACAATTCAAAATTTAATCTGAAGTTCTACAAACATCTTAATCAAATATGATGTATGCTACTGATCTCTATGGTTATAAGTAGTATGTATCATCAAACGAAAGTGAAATACCTGGCAGCAGATGATTAAGAAGATCAAGCAAAGGAGAATGAGAACAGAGAATGATTGCTGTGAAAATTAATGGACAGTGATGTCTGAGTTCACGGGTCAATTGAAGCTAGTTCACTGCGGAACGCTTAGAATCAATAAAAGACCGTTTCAACCTAGTGTGTGACTCCTCATCAGTGCTCATCCACGACCCCGCCTAGCGAAATTCAAATCCAGAACCTATCGGTCTTGCGAGCGAACGCTTAACCTTTAGACCAATGAGCCTTATTTTATTTTCAACTTACATAATTTTTATGCTTTTTTGATTTTCATAACTAATTGCGATAATTAATCTACAATGGATTTCTAGTCTAGTTGGCATTTTACATCTGATTAATTTCTAGTTGAAAGCGTGAGTCAATTGAAGCTAGACCACCATGGAAAACCTGGAAACACTGGACGGCTGTTTCGTCCAGTGTTTCCAGGTTTTCCATGGTGGTCTAGCTTCAATTGACTCACGCTTTCAACTATGAAAAATACTATATCTCCACAAAACCCCTTCTGTTAATTAATTTCTAGTTGTTTACTATTTTGTTTTACAGAGAATAATGGAATATACTTCAGTGGCTGGATATCTGATTCCATTTGGATCATTTCTGAGTGCTATCGAATAATTGCTGTCGAAATATACATCTTGACCACTCTCTCGTATATAATCATCGAATTAAACCGCGTTACTGAATAACGAAGCTTTTTTTACATTACTTACGCTTGTTACTCCCAATGGAGCATAGGCCGCCGACCAGCTTTCTCCAACCCACTCTGTCCTGGGCTTCCTTTTCTAGTTCTATCCAGTTCTTGTTCATTCTTCTCATGTCTGTCTATTTCTCAGCGTAATGTGTTCTTTGGTCTTCCTCTTCTCCGTTGACCTTCACGATTCCATGTGAGGGCTTGTCTTGTGACGCAATTAGCTGATTTCCTCAAGGTGTGCCCAATCCACTTCCAGCGCTTCTTCCTGATTTCTTCCTCCGCTAAAATCTGGTTTGTTGTCTCCCACAGTAACCTATTGCTGATAGTGTCTGGCCATCGGATCCGAAGTATTTTGCGTAGACAGCTGTTGATGAACACTTGTATATTCTGGATAATGGCTTTCGTATTTCTCCACGTCTCCGCCCCATACAGTACAACTGTCTTGACATTTGTATTGAAAATTCTAACCTTGGTGTTTGTTGACAATTGTTTTGAGTTCCAGATGCTTTTCAGTTGTAGGTATGCTGCTCTTGCTTTGCCGATCCGCGCCCTCACATCTGCATCTGATCCACCGTGTTCATCACCTCCGCCTGAAGCTCCTCTGGGGGTTACTGCCGGTCCCAAGCCCGGGTAAAGGAGGAGGGTTGGGCATGGGGTTAGCAAACCCCATCCCGTAGAAAATCAACTCGCTAAAAAACGCTAACCAGAAAAAATCATTCAAACCTTTCAAACTCTGCCCTGGGAGTAGAAGGAATAATTCTGACGTTTCATGATGAAAGCCGAGTTCATTCGGAAGTCATGAGGCCGATGCACCTTCTTACAACCAGAGCGAAAATTTTTATAGGTACATGGAATAACGAAGCTAAATAAGTCAAATACGAGTATGAATTTCGAATACATATATTTTATACAATGATTGATCTGAAAAGAAAATCAGGAAGACAGAGAGAAGGAAGCGAAACTAAATGGCGCATAGTGGAGAAGGCGTGTGAGCCAACTCGATTGAATCAAGAGTTAATCGATACACACAAAATAAGTTACAGACATGTGTTGAGTAGGATAAGAAGAGTACACTCACATACGCTCACATACGAAAACAGTCAAGGTTGTGAATAAATAATAAAATTGAAATGTGACCTAAGGAGATAGAGTAAATTGGTTTGCCCGGAAGCTAGAATAAGTTATATGGGCTTGACAGTAACAGCAAACATCTAAATATTATGGTATTTATGTATTTTTCTAATCATATAGTTTACAACTGTAGCTATTTTATTCTGATCTCATTCATAGTAATAAACTTATACAACATTATAAAAAACAATACTGGGTTAGTCAAATTTCAACCGACTAGCATTAGTTTAATTAATACTGTAGGATTATTGCAACGACGAATTATCAGTATAAAACCTACAAGAGTGTTGGCGAGTGCATAATTTATGGACGAGCCAGTCAGAAGCGTTTGATTGATTCAAGTTCATGGCACCAATTTTAGTACCTGATATTCCTGTACGATCGAGTCACCGAGGATTTTAGGGAAGACGTGACAGCTGAATGGCTACAATAAATGGGACTTCTAAGAAGTTTCTTTATTTGTAATTGTAGTAATCAAATGATTTTGTAGACTTTGTGCAAACTACCGTGACGACATTGTCTTTCGGTGTAATATATGTTGGAAGAAAGAGTCTGCTAGAATAGGAAATTGTTTTGCTCTATTCAAACTGAAACTAAGGCAAATTATAATAATAGCAGCGTACGGTCAAATAAAAGCAACAATAACGTTGGCTGCAGTATTCGCAGATGTTACCGAAGCTTCGGCTGTTTAGTAATATGAATGTTGTAGAGTTATGTACATAATAATAATGACAAGCTTACATAACCAGAGTACACCCAAACAATATTGAAGCTATATGGTCGAAGCTAATATAGTTTCTGCGACCTTATCATGACTCCAGAGACCGACTATTATGGAGCCATAGGGATGAGTTCCTTTACAGTATACATTAAAATTTACTGAACATTTGAACCTCTTTCTAACCTTGACAAGTTTTTGGACCATATAAAAGAAGTGTATTCACTATAATTCTTTGGTCCTGTATAATGTATTTTTACTTTATACTAACTGTTTCTTGATTGGTTAATATTTCTCAAGGTCACTTTAGATTCGTTCAAGGACATCCATAAACTATAGTCCCGCCATTCATAAATCATAGTCTCGACAGAATATTTAATGTCAATTTATTTTTAACCAGTTTTCGTTCTCACTTCCGTTTCCTTATACAATGTATGTACTGCATAACTTCATGTAGGACTGTTTATGTTTTACAGAATAGATTTAAATATACTTAGATATTATTCTATTACATAATAGGAATAGTAAGAAAATGTAGGTCCATCAGTTGGTTTGTATTTGATAAACTAACATTTGTCAATTGTTTGCATAATTTCAAATGATTATCCACAGCCATATTCATAAAGCATTGGCGGCCTGCTTAAACATCTGGGCTACCTAATCCTGTCATCGACATATTTCAACAAGTTATCTGTATTTTGTTTGTTTTAATACATCATTATTGGCTATCAATCGCATAACTTATTCAGGTGCGTTTCTTTAAAGTGTACAACTTTTCGCTGTAAAGGTTACAAAGAGGCTGAATCAGAGATATTGTGGTTGCTAGCAATATGTATGCTGAGAAAACAATGTACTGCTAATAATAACAATAATAATAATAGCAAAAAGCCGAATAACATACTAATAACACAATTGGCAGCATTACATCATGTTCAAACATAAATAGCACACTAACCAACTAATGATTTCGAAATTTTTGCCATATTTCATTATTTAGATTAAATCAATGAAACGATGACAAAGATACTAATATCATTAAGATTCAGATATAAATATGATGACGCTTTACTTATTGTCGACTAGAGTAACTTATGCTATGATGTTATTGTTATATCGAGTGAATGCGTACTCTGTTTAATATATGACGTTAGAAGACTGTCAAGCATAGAGGAGTGAATTATCGAACAGTGCGATGATGTACGGAAACTGTATGAGCAGTCTTGAATACTTATCAGTCCTGCTTTCTGCCTAGCCCAGCCAATTAAGTCCACAACACCAATAACAGCCTCTGCAATATGAATTATTATTCTCAAACATACTGGATTTATATACCAAACAAACTGACTAGCCGAATGTGGTTTTGAATAGGGGGGACAGTAATTAATAGACTGGGTATAACTCAGGAATGGTAAACCGTATAATAATAGTCTATGGGTCAAAATAAAGCTCATAATAAAAGGAACATGAATATGAATAGTTAAGTTACTTAGTAATTATACAATAGGAAATTGACATATCACATTGGTCCATAAATAGTCATCAAAGTTACCATTCATGATTCTCCACGGGATATAATAGTTATGGAAAGAGCTTCTTGATTAAAGTACGCAGGGATCTAATTAATGACAATGTTATTCTCTTAAACGGATTCTTTTAAATATTTCAATGAGAATTTATAACTTTTTATTGTAAATAGTTCAAAGAAAGCATAACTAGTCAGATAGTTTCGTGTAATAAGTTATAACTTTTCATTCCTCAAACGGTTAACCGAAAAAGTTTAGAAAATTTATGCTATCTAAATATAAAATGAAATCCGCCTGTAACTCTTCTAGAGTTAGTGTAGGTCCCAGGTCGGGGTAAAGCAGGAGGGTTGGATATGAGGTCAGTCACTGACAATTGGACTGAGCCATACTGGTAGTTGTAGACTACCTGGTTGGGATTCACGAGATGATAGCAATCGATGGTTAGAGACATTGAATGACATGGCTCAAAATCGTTTGCAATCGCGAAGGTGCATCCACTCTTTGTGTTCTAACAAAT